GAACCGAGCTGTGTTATTTTGGTGTGCCGCTTCTAAATGGTTCCACCTTTTGTCTTAGTAGTTTTTCATGGCCTTGAGAAGGGTGGAACAGAATTACACTTAAGCACTTACCCACCTAATAGATGGAATAGACTCCAGCCCTTAGCAACAAGCTTGATTTCAAAACAAGGAGAGAGTGAGACCTCTGTTCGAGTGCAAAGAAGAGAAAACTCAGCTCTGCATCTCATAGGTAATATACTTTGAAATGTTTGACAGAATATTATACTGTTATGTGATTGCTTTGAACTTGCATAATAAAGGCATCAGCTTCAGAATTTGAATGATTGATTTATTTAATGCCTTATAACAATGCTATGGTATACGACTGATTAGGACAGGATTGAAGAACCAGGTGCCACCAGCCACTAAAGCTAATATTTCATAATTAATACAAATCTAATGTACCGGTCCTTTTAACTCAGAAGTTTATAATAGGGACACATATTTATGCCTCCCCTGGGGAACACACTACCTCTCAGAATTAGGTGTGGATAATAGGTGGAATAAACAAAGAAGGCTACCAGAGAGCTGGAGCCTCCCACGGCATATGCACAAAGATAGCTAAAGTCCTATTAATAGATTTTTATTGTAGTAATTTTTATTTATTTTCATATGACACCTAAGTGTTTTGGATGCTTTACAGATATAGAATAAAACAGATGCCAACCCCCAAAGCTTTCTGTTTGCTCAACCTCTTTTTATGCTTTTGGTGAAATTGTGCCAAAGTGCTTCCACTCTGTTAAAATAAATGGACTTAATAATACTCTCTTGACTTTTCTCTGTGCTGTCTACTTAGGCCCTGATTTAGCAAGGTACTAAAATCATATGCCTAATTTCAAAACCTAAGTAGTTCTTACTGGTTTCAACAGAACTACGCTTATGCCTGAAGTGAAGCACATGGTTGGCTATTTTGCTAAAGTGGCCTTAATCTTGCAAATAGTTATACATGCGCTTAATTTCATGTGTGTAAGTAGTCAAATTGGCTTCAGTGCAGTATTCAAGTGTGTAAACTCAAGTACACGGGCAAATGTTTCCAGGACTAGGGGCTTTGATCATAAAACACTCTGGCCGGGAAATTATTTTTTTATATGCCTGTATGAATCCTAGCACTATAGGTCTTTAATTTCAGTTGTGGCCACTAGCCACAATTCAATTTAAATAACATAATAAGAATAACCAGAAATATTAAGATTATAAAGACACAATTAAAAATCATTAATCTTCTACTGAACAATCTGCAATGGGTTCAGAAGTGAAAATGCTCTTGTGTTACCAGACTGTAGCTGAACCTAAAATATTCCTTTTTCCCTTCACTCTGCAAAAGCAGGATAGAATAAGGGTCCCTTTTAATAACCCAAATTTTAATAACCCAGTTGCATAGATCTGACATCCCTGCCCCCTGCCTCTTATCATCTCCTTTGTTTCTGAAAATTTAGCAAAACTCTGCCTCTCAAGTCCAAGTGGGACTATGAATATAGAGAAACAATATGGATTAAAGAAATTGATAAACCTTCAAAATAGCTCTCTATCTTTTTTTATACCTCTTATGTGCTTGACGTCAGATAAATTGTCTCCCCATACTAGAACCAGTGTATATACAAATACTGAATTACACTCAACTTGTAACTTTATAGCTTTCCTCCTTAAAAACAGGTATACTCCGAATAGCTGTGCCATGTGACCGTTGGAATTGCAAATGTGATCCAACCACCTTCTTCCAACATCTCTCTTCACATAGTCCCTCCTTGCTGTGTGTCTCACTATTTCCCTTAAATATTCTCAGGCTCCTTAGCTCCCTTCCCACCCCCAAAACTAATCCTTCCTTCCTTCCATTGTCTGGCATAATTTCTTCTCCCTGTTCCTGGCACCTAAACCCCTCATCTGTTTCTGCCTTGTCCAGCTCATTCTTTTCACCCATTCCTAGTTACTTCCTCATAAGTAACCAGTATGTATGGTGTAGTAATAATTGCAGGAGGGTTTTTTTCTTTTCTTAGTGGTGGCTCTGAGGATTGCATAGTCCAGTATTAGTAATCCAGTATTAGCCTTTTGGAATAACACTACACAGAGAGCATCTACACATTTATAAATGTGCAGTGGTTACTAGGGGTGTACTTGGTAGCTGTGTTGGTCTGAGACAAAAAGACATACAAAAAACTATAACTCTTGGTTCCAAAATGATACTTTTTATTAGACCAACTGGAAATTCGCAAGAAAATTGTCCTTTTCTGCAAGCTTCCAGGATCAAAGTCCCTTTGTCAGGCTCTGGGAAAAGTATAGATTGTACAAGATGGTAAAAAGTCCCCATAGGTAGGAAATAAACTTCATTTTTGCACAGAGGAAGCTGAAGATGGAAGGCTGTCCCTCTGGGTCCATGAGAGTGTCTTCGTGAGCTGTGTTGAGTAGCTCTTTGATGTGTAGATCCGGTACAATTCCCTCCCTGGAGGTGTCAGATGGCAGGCAGGGAGGTAAATAAATTTTCTTTTTACCATCTTGTACCATCTATACCAGGGTAGGCAACATTTTTTGGATGGAGTGCCGAAAAAACCACAATGTCTACCTTGGAAGGTGCCGGAGTGCACATGCCAGAGCCTGGAGCAGCTGTTTGCAGCCTCCCGGCTGCAGCCGGCCCATGGAGCCCAGTGTGCTTGCAACAGGGCTTGCAGCCTCCCAGTCGCCTGCTGGGAGCAGCCTGGGCTTCGTGGGTGGCAGCAGCTGCTTAGAGCCCGGGCTGGCAGTGGTGTGCCGAGCAAAACGGCCTTGCATGCCATGCTTGGCACACGTGCTGGGGGCTGCTGACCCCTGATCTATACTTTTTCCAGAGCCTGATGAAGGGACTTTGATCCCGAAAGCTTGCAGAAAACGACAATTTTCTTGCGATTTCCCAGTTGGTCTAATAAAAGGTATTTTGGAAGCAAGAGTTCTAGTTTTTTGTATGTCAGTGGTTACTATGCATTTAATTTAGTACTTGTATAAGTAAGTACTAAATTTAATTAATATTTAATTTAGTACTTGTATAATCAAGTACTAAGCAAATACGCAGTAACCAGAGTTACTGCTCAGTCATGTTGGCAAGCACCTTTTTAGTGATGCTACTGCGCAGTAGCCTAATAATACTAATACTGTGTGGTAGCACATTAGCTCTGTCCATGCTGTGACGTGCTACTGCACAGCGTTATTAGGCTACTGCGCAGTTAGCATCTCGTGTAGACATGCCCACAGAATCCTTAACAGGGAATTGTCTATGATCCGGTTAAAAGAGTGAAACACAAATTATATCAGGAACTTAATACTGGGAATAGCACTGCTCCCATCTTTACATGCAAATAAAAAAGCTCCACCTTTACAAAGTTTACCACACAACCATACTGGTGTCCACAAGACAAGGCCAGTTTTTCTCTTCTACTCAATTTGTCATGTACCCCGCTCAGTCCACCATATACAGTACCACTCACATTTATGATCAACATTCCTTAATGCTTTTTCTTTTTTTATGGTCCTTTAGCACTTGTTCCTTTTGAATTGCCAGTGAAAATTAGATATGCTCATACACATTAGGATGATTGTGAAACAGAAGTATCCCCTCACAACCATTACTATCATCTGTTCTTGGCTTACATAGTCAGCTGGCTTTCAGGGAATGCATATCCATTCCTTATAATTTTTGGGGACAGCATTATTTCTACAAAATTAGAACAGAGCATTTCACAGCAAATTACAAAGGCTGCATGAAAGTACAAGAAAATGAGAGTATGCAGTTGCAAACTTGCAATAATTTTAGCACTTTGGTGGGGGCCTGGGTATCCTTCATAGTGCTGGTGTGTGTTTCCATGGCAGCACCATATATTTTGTACAATTTTTTTTCTGCAGAGAAGTTATTTTGGTTGCTACAAGATTTTGAAGCAAGATGTCATTTTAAATGTGATGATTTCCAGCTGGGAGAAAGACCACCCAGGCGGACTGTAGGTGCATTTTGCAGAAGCTTTGGCCAGCTGGTTCATGCTATTCACATTGGATTTTAGAATCAAAAGATGCAAAAAGATTCTTTTGGTACCTCTACACAGACATGTTAGCCCCGAGGATGCTTGGCACATTAAAACCAACCACTGCCAAAGGGGCTAAATATGCTATGCTATATGCCAATTTCCTTTCTTATAGTTTCTTTACAGTTGTTGCCTAATTTCACTTTTTACAAGACTTTAGTGTAAATCAGTCTGTGGGAGCATCTCATTTATTCTGATGAATGATGGAAAGCCTTGCAATTCATAGGTAATATGGCAAACTGTGAGCCTTTTCCTGCCTTTCTCCCTGACTCTTTACTGCATTATTGTGTTTTGGTCATCCATGTAGAGGCAGTAACTTCATGAAGCTCATCCCACTGAAAACACGGGTGAGTACTTGGGAGAAATGCAATCCACCTACAGCCATCCACAAAAATAAAGCTCATTCCCCTTCTCATTAAAAAGACAGACCTTTAATGGCATCAAACTGTCAAGTGGCATAACAAGCAGAGTCCCATGCAGCGAGAAGGAAAGTCCTTTTAGTTTAACTGCAATCGGAGTTCTCCAGCTTATCTTTATAACACACGTTGTTCCCAAATATGGATATGTTATCACCTCTGTTTTACAGATGGGGAGACTGAGGCAGAGAGAGAGAAAGTGATTACCCAAGGTCACATAGGAAGCACAAGAACTGAGGCACAAGACCATTCTTCCAGTCACAGCAACCTGATTTCCACATCTCTAGTTTATGCACCTACTTTTTAAGAATAGTTTTCCTCTTTTTGTTTGTGTTTGGGATATCATGGTTGCTGACTGGAGTGACAATGCAGTTTTCTCCATGTGCTGAACTGCCTGTAGAGATGGCTCAGCAGTTTGTTTTGAGAACTGAGCTCTTTAGGGGGTTCAAATGAAGGCAATTATATGCCATAAGGTACTATAAATTAAACAAGAAGTTATCATGTATGTAATTATTTATTGAGCTGAGGATCCATACAAGGTAAACAAATGTTTACAATATCATACAGTAAGCATCTCCAGGGCTTAATAAAAATGATTGTCACTCACCGTGCTTCACAAAATTTTTCTTTTAATGAATAAATAATTTGATGAAATCAAATATATTTACAATATAAACAAATGAAAAAGCTTTGGATATATTAATCTGAGCATCCTGTATTTTGCCTTTTCTAATGGTATTTCTATCAGTAATTTCCCTCTGAAATGGTACAAAGTATATAGAAACTACAACTCAACAAAGATAACATGGTTTGGTACATGTGTATCTGTTAATTCAAATAAGCTACATATGCTTCGTTTATTATGCACGTGTTAGAATACAAATATAACTAAAATCATATATTATCAAAATGCTAGACAGCATTCTTCACAAAACAGAAATGTACACTAGGTTGTGACAATAACAGAGGATCACAGGCAACAAAATATAACAGAAAAGTACAAATTCCTTCATAAGAATATAATTGTGCTCTTTAAGTTACCAGATGACTATGCTGCTCCACCACATTGATGACTATGTATGAATGCAGTATCCAACAACTGTTGTACAGGTTTGTGTATATGTTTGTATGTGTTGTCAAGCAGCGGCATTACAGTGGAAAATGGGCAGTGCAAGCAGTTTTATAAACATTTTCTTGGGCTCTTAAAAAGAGCCAATAATACAAAGCAATATAAGCAGAACACTGAGAAGTCTTCATCTCATGTACACAAACATCATGAAATGATTTGCTTTGTTTTGTGGTGGTGAAAGGAGTTTTGTCAGTGTTGTTTGTAAGATCAGCCAGAATTCAAGTATTCCAAAGCCACTTCATAGCAGAATTTGTATTGATCCTGAAAAATCAGAAGAAAATCACCAAGTCAGCCACAGAAATAACTTAATTAAAGATTTCAGTATCTCTATTCTTTAAAAATTATTTACCATCAGTCATGGTCAACAACTGCTGTACAAAACCAATCTGTATTCAGATAAGACGGGGTTTTCAACCTTTTTGGATCAGTGTCCGCCTGGCAGTCGGATGCAGAGTAGTATACCCCTGGCAGCTGGATGCAGAGTGGGGGAGGGCAGCACGCAGCCGAACGCGGAGCGGTGGCAGCCACCACGTGAGAACTCCTCCCCCCACATCAAGGTGGGTGCCTGTGCGGCAGTACGGCGTAGTGCATGGCGGAGTTGTGTGCGTGTGTGTGTGTGTGTGTGTGTGTCCCCTGCCCCATGTGCACCTCCTAGGGCCTTCTCAACTACCCGGCGGGTACACGTACCCCTGGTTGACAACCTCTGAGCTAAGACATCCCTCATACTAACCAATCAATAGATAGTACATACAGTAACAAACACTGCTTATCATACCATACAATAGTGTATTTGGGTACCCTAACATATGAAGAATATTGATGACAAACAAACACACCAACCTCTAAATCTTCAGAACCTATCAAAAAGTTCATACGAAGTAGAAACTGGAATTCCCTCATGGCCGTGTTTATGTTAAAAGAGGCCAAGGCCAGCTCTTTGCTATATTTCAGTTCTTAACTTTAAGTTTATTTTTGTCCGGAAACTCATTACATTTCAGATGAAAAGCCTTTTATTAAATTTAAAATCCCTGGAAACCCACACTCCAGTTTCTACTCCTCTTACACTAAAGCGCATATATTAAGCAGTCAATTTTACTGTCACAAAAGGTATATTTTCAACTACCAGACCCTGTCTCTTCAGACACAGGTCTGTATTATGGTGATGTGGAGCCCAGGCTTGCCCCATGTGTAACTAGGGGCAAACCTGGGCATAATGTCACATGAAGCGCATTGGCATGCCAGTGGAGGAAGAGCAATAATCCCATCCCCTACCCTGCCCTTGCCAATGATTTTGTCTGGCCCTGACTCTTCTAAGTGTACAGGCTGTAATAACTGCATGTGTTATATCAGGGGTGCTGAACCCCAGTTCATGGGCCAGATCCAGCCCTTGGGGTTGTCTCATCCAGCCCACAGGTAACCCCATAAGTTTGAAAATTTGGTGGTGGGAAAGTGGTGACAACATTAATGGAATACATATTACACCAGCCCAGATGTGTAGGGGCTGGATGAGACTGTGGTGGGGCTAAATCCAGGTCACAGACCAGCTCCGCACCACTCATCTGGCCCAGGGGGGATCAGAAGGTTGAGCATTACTGTTTTATATGGTTTGCATCCATCTTTATAAAGAAACCTTGGAAAAATACTTTCTGCTGATTTTTTACTTTATTTTGTGAAACAGTAAATATTTAAATGCAACAAAAAACCAGTCAAAACAACACATGTTATTCCTTAAGTTCCAACTTTGAATAGTTCTGAGTTCCAAAATTTAATTTGGAAAGTTCTGCCTAGTAGAATGTATTCCATTTTTTCTCCCTGAAGTAAGCACTGCTTCTCTCCCCTGCACTTTAATTACGTAAGAAAATACAACAGGGCATGTGCTATTGTGTAGTAATAATAACAACAAGCAACTAGCTGACAGGTCAGCCTTTTCCTTTATGTGGAACACCAGGACTAAAAAGGATACGATTATGCTGAAGCAAAAATTTAAAGAGATTCTATCTATTGTCTGCTGAACTCACTCATGTAACTTAGTTGCATGTTTATGAAGAAGAGAATGTACTTTAAAAATTCTACAGCTGCTTCTAAAGACAGAGCCGAGAAAGACTGTTTAGGACAAACATGCATTTTCCTGATGCTTCCATTTGCAACTGCAACTTAAAAAATTAAGGAACAAAATTCTAGGAGCTGACCTCCACAGAGCTGTGACTGAGATGTACTATAGGTTTTAAGACACAGCAGAATCATATCAGCTATGGTATATTCTTTTGACTGTGAAACAAATGAAAAAAATCTTAACAAAATTATTTTTTTTTCTTAATTGCATATATATTGCTAAATATATTGCAGTGATGCTGTTATTAGTGATCAGCTAACCATCCATTTCCAAGGTTCCAAGGGTGGCTGTGCCTTAAGGAAACGATCCTTTGGGCACAAAGCAAGACGATCCCCGTGCGAGGTAAAAGAGGGAAAGGGGCCAGGAGGCTTCCCTGGCTGACCAGAGAAATCCAGGGCAGCCTAAGGGCCAAAAGGGGAGCACATAAAAAGTGGAAACAGGGAGAGATCACCAAAGACGAATATACCTCCTCTGCTCGTGCTTGTAGGGAGGCAGTTAGACGGGCCAAAGCTACTGTGGAGCTGAGGATGGCAACCCAAGTAAAAGACAACAAGAAATTGTTTTTTAGATATATAGGGAGTAAAAGGAAGGCCCAGGGAGGAACAGGACCCCTGCTAAATGGGCAGAAACACTTGGTGACGGACAGAGGGGACAAGGCTGAACTCCTCAACGAGTTCTTTGCCTCAGTGTTCCTAAGCGAGGGGCATGACAAGTCTCTCACTGGGGTTGTGGAGAGGCAGCAGCAAGGCGCCAGACTACCATGCATAGACCCTGAGATGGTGCAGAGTCACTTGGAAGAACTGGATGCCTTTAAGTCAGCAGGCCCGGATGAGCTCCATCCGAGGG